AAAGAGAGAGTTTGGTATTCAGGTGAAAAGGTTCGCGCGATATTAACGCGACTGTTTCGTTTGAACGAGGCTGACAACACCGAGGTACGACCAGCGAGCTTTCGCGCTTTCGCGAAAACAAATGCACAGCCGTTAATTGAAATGTAAATTCTCTCGGAATAATTGCATCGACGGCGAAACGGCGCGAAGGAACACGCACCCTTTGTCAAACGACACACCCAGCCGTCGTATAACAAAGTATAATTCCGTTTGATCACGCGTTTCGTAGAAAGCGTCGCGTCGTTGTTTTAATTGTTTTTAATTATTCGGTTCGATGAGTCGTATTACGGACTTGTTATTATCACGTTACTTTGCACAAGCAGATTTGTATAGAAAGGATGTTTTGATAATCGATAAAGTGGTGACACATTCATCTGGAGGTTTTACAATTTTCTACCAAAACTCTTGTGTCTCAAGTCACATTTTCAAAGGTATAAATTCGCAGAAAGAAACCGCGGTATAATAATTTCACATCATTTGTATTTCGCACAATTTACAATTTTACTCAAAAGATTTCAGATTTTTTTATTGGAACTTCAAAGGACGAGAAATTTTCTGTTTGCGAAGGCGAGACCGCAAACAACGCCAGTATAACAATTCCGTAACAGATAGCGTAATCCTCTGTACTTTCGCGCAGGATGTAAGTTGTTTCTTAAGTAGGAGCTAGAAGTTTTTGACACAGTATTACGTTTCTTGCTGCACGTAATACTTAAAGAGGTAAAGCCTCCGAGACAAAGCGCGTTCTACGTGTGAATGGCTAAACAACGTCGCCATTCTTCCCCCCCGGTTCTTTTTCCCATTCCTCTTTTCTCCCTTGGTACTTGGCTGCCGGTCATACAAATGCCGGCTAAACGGAGCCGTTATTGAGAAAACTGTTTTATTTCGAAATAAGAGCAACTGCGATCTCTTTGATTGTGTTATTGTTCGTTTTAGCTGGGTTAGTTCGTTGAAAATTATCACGCGAAAAGTTCACGTTTCGGGCGTGATTATCGTCAAGAAATACGAAAATACATATTTTTCAAGATTTTTAACCACTTGCGCTGGCAACTGATTGCGGACCATAACGAGTGACCGAACTGTATACAATAATTCGTCGCTTTCCTTTTGCACTCGTCGGTATGATATCACTGGATAGAAATGATTGAGAAGCAATAAATTTATTATTTACTTTGCCTATTTTGTTTTACTTAAATATACTTAACGTAACGTAGTGTCGCAACATTAATGTAACTCTGATTTTATTTGTCTTGCGATTTTTTCATATTTTTTAATTTTCAATTTATTCACATTTCAGTTGCACTGTTTTCTAACAAAGCCACGAAATCAATGTTGATATATAAAATGATGAAACGATTTTACTAGAAAAATACAGAATCGTAGTCACACTTTGCTAGTTAATTAATTACCGATAAAAAATCTCGGTTTTTGCGCGTGCGCGGTACAAAAACTCTCGCTCGAACAAATAGGAAGGAATGTTCATTACCGGAAGAACAGCGACTCCGCCTCTATTTATCACCGCTAACGAAACTTTCGAAGGCTTGCTTTTATCGCCGGATTTACTCCCTACATGTTGCTACACTGGCAATTTATCGACTGTCCTTAGTAATTACGATAGAGAGGAGAGTATTAACCCGACGACTATGTCCAGCACACCGTAAATATTGTTTTAAATAAAGTCTTTATAATTTTTCTAATTTTGTTTGAATTAAATCTTCTAAGTCATATATTATCGTTTATTTTTTTATTATTATTATTTCATTTTTTACTTCATTTTATTCCTTTTATTATTATTTTATTATTTTTAAAGAAAGCAGAAAGTAACGCAATATTTCTGTGTATCAATAGAAATTTGCTCGCATCTATTTCCGAAGAAAATTTCACGTAAAAACGTAAATTTAAACGTAAATTACTTTCGTAACTTCGACTTTGCAACATTAAACATCTACAAAAATAGTAAAATATTCCAATCTCGATTAAATAACCACAGCGTGGCTGTCGAAAAAATGAAAGTCCTACGTATCTTGTTTTCTTTTTTTTTGTGAATTGATCGATCCGAGTAGAGTAGAAAGAGGAAATGACAAGCGATCTTCATGTTCTCGCGCTGCTCGAGCATCCTCTCGTCTCCCACTCGCGGAAAATAGAAGAGAAAAAGTACGATATTTCCTGCGACCCTATGCTATAAAAGTTCTGGAGGGTCGAATCGACGAAGATTCGTTTGGCATGTCGAGAGATGAGTCGAATGTCCAACGGACTCGTCTCTTTACTTCTCTCGGCCATTTCAATCAATTTATCCCCCCATCGAGGATAAATTTTCGATTGGAACATTCAAACGATTTCGACGCAAAACACTCCGTAACGGAGAACGCTTCGATCGTTTTTCCCTTTTGACTGTTCGGAAAAAACTGTCAACCGAGATGTATAATAATAATAATAATAATTCTTTTTTTACTGCTACAATAATTTATTAATGCAGTGTACATTTGTTAATCAAGTCAAAGAATTAAACGGGATAGTTAGGTTCGACGTTACGAGTAGGAATCTGGTTTTTTAATCATAAATTAATAAAAATAATTTTTGTCTAAATTATCGTATATATATAATTCACGCGGTTGTGAAATTTCACACGATCACGCGAGAGAGCCAAACGGAATGTTAATTGGATATTACGAATGGGATTAATTTCGCGCGAGGGCAGTTTCATTTTACGCGGAACGAGGACGCAGACCGGTAACCAAAATTGGAATTTTAGGTTAAAGAATGATAGATATCTTCGTGGCAAGTATGCCACGCGAGGTATCTGCTGGCTGAGCACTAACACTTTCTCTTGTAGATTGCAGAGCGTTGATTGTTGAACCCAGATAAGTTTCCAAGCTTGGATGGAGCTGGCGCGGCGGTCAGAGGGAAGCGAAACCGATATATCGCGTGGACGTAAATTTTGAACGGTTTATGTGTTTCGTAAATGATCAGTAGCCGTGGAAATTTATCCGCGAACGGTTTTCCTCCACGTGCGTGCGTGTTATAGAATTCTTCCCGTACGTGGAAGTACAAAAACCATAGACAGTATTCTGATTTAAATAGAGCATTTATAAATGTTTAAACATTCACGTATAAGTTGAAAAATGATGCAAATTTATAATTCCTTTGTAAATAAATGAAAAATGAAGTACGGAATACCGTCTCGAACGGTGCGTCTGACTTATGACGACTTATACTACTTACGTGTGTATTTTCTTGTACATGTTGCATTTCTTAACTTGTCGACAAATAAATAAAAGAGGAATAGGGAAATGCGAGTAGGGAACGCTCCTTCGAATTCTCTGTCTGACTTAGAATGAACTGTACTACTTCTACGTTTTTTCCGTTTTCAAGTGAATGTATAATTTAGCAAATATCAATACTTATCAATGAAAATTCATATAAATTCGGCAACTGAGCGTACCTACAAGCAACAACATTTAAATTTCACCAAATTTATTGAAAATACTGTTCGTTATCCATTATTAAATTTCTCCGCAACATCTACTTTGTCTGCCTACATTTAAAAAATACCTTACGATCAGATCATTTGGTCAAATAATTGAAAGAAGCGTTAAACCTGGCGCATGTAACGTACCAAGCGTGCAAGTGTTAGAGGGATAAAGATTTGACAGGGGAATAAATCGTGGAACGCGATCCGTTTGCACGGGTGGTGTAAAGGTTTCGGCTGCCGCGGGTATAAATACCGATTAAGAAGATAGAATTAGCAACGATTAGCGTATTTCGTGTACGCCGTTTCGTGTGTATGTGTGCACGTGTATTGCGCGAGGAATAGAAAACAGAGCTTAAACCAGTCGGAATTCGAAGTTGGGGAAGTAATCTCGCGTAATCAAACCCTTGTTCGACGTCGTGGCTTAACTGGAAATCGGTATCAACCAATCCCAGGTGTTCAATTGGCACCGTGCCAGGATTTAAGCTCGCCGGCTTAAATTTCGCGCAATCGCCTGGGGAACTGGGGCAGATTCAGATTAGAATTAACTAATTGTTGCGTACGGCGTTCTAATTAGCCCTTTGTTAATCGCCTATGCTAACGTTTAATTAAAATCATACACGACATATGGATCGTCGTAGGCGATGACATCAGGGCAACATGCGCGACCCGATTGCCAAGAAATCCAGATCCCCGTGATCTGGCGCCGAGGAATGCGGCAAAATGCAAAATTCATCTTAATAAAGGAAGCGAAATACCCATAGGAGGTTGCATCCTCTGCGTCTTCTTCATGATTCATAAATGTCATTGCAGTTTCCAGCCGAATTATTTCAGTATTTTCGAATTCTTAGGCTTCGAGTTTGTCCTCATCTCGTTCGCGTGATTTTCCAACATGATGTTCCAAACGCGCAGTTAAATTTTTTAGGATTCACGTGAACTTGAAAAATCGTTGATTCATAGAATCTTTCAATTAAACGGGACAATGTACATTGATAAATTGTACAACATGTACAACACGTTTCGATTAAGCGAATTGAAATATTTTTCGGTGAGCTACGCGATCGATTATACTCACAATCGTCATTTCCGTTGTTTTCACTTTTGTTCTTTGCAAAGATTAACGTATGGGAACAAAGCTTGCTACGAACTATACTACATTTAATTAATATTCCGTTACTTTATAATAAGAAGAGTGTTTACATTCATTCATATATAATATAAATATTAAAAATATATATTATTATATATAAATTATTATAAAATATATTATTATGTTATGTAATATTATAAAATATTATATAAAATATTAACGCGCAAAAGCAAATATTAAACTAAACTACAATGTATTGATATTCCATCGAATCAAATATCCCAAAACAAATCGGTTTCCCTCGATTTTTATAGCGAACGTGTATTCGAATTTCGAGTAAACTGTGACCAGTACGTGCATTCTAACGCATGCAACGTGCGAAAACGTGTGAAGAAAAAGTCTCACCGATCACATCCAGGTATACGATGTGACTCATGTGTGGCGTCGTTGAGACCTGACACTCGTAATAACCGCTATCCCGAAGTTGTGGATACTTGATCTCCAGCGTCCAATCGTCCGTCTGCGCGTTGTGGATCGGCCTGAATCGCTGGTCGTTCGTGTACGTGTAACGACCGATGGTGAGCAGATGAACGTCCCTATGCCGGACCCAGGAAACCTGCAACGTCATCTGTAAAGTAGAAAAACACGTCTTCAATCGGTCGAATAATTTGTAGCTGTTGTTCCATTCAATTTAATTGGCAATCACTTTGGAATTTCTCGTGGCCAGTTGCTGGTCATACGTCTGGCCAATCGTCTCGTTTACGTGATCGATCGGTCATTTTTCTTATGACGGTCGCCAGACTGATCGGATAATCTTTGATAATTTGAAAGTGTGACTGATTGGATTTTGATCGCTACAAATTACACGTGGGCTCTCGTTAACTGAACACGTGTCAAATCGCACGTGTCAAGTTAAGGAGAACTTGTTTCAAGTTCTTCTCCTCAGAAATTGAATCGATTTCATGAATTCATCAGATAACTTTTGTTGAAGTAGGTGCGTCTGTGTGAAAATCACAATCGGTGGAAGAAATGTACAACAGCATCGTCTAATTAAAATCTGGCGAAGTGCTTCGTTCATTTCAATCGAAGCTGAAGCTATCAAACTCAAGGATTCCTTCTATCTCAAATTCTCTGCCCGATTGAGGTTTTGTTTCTTCCATCGATTATGTAATAATTAACTTGATGTTCGCTGTGGAACAAGGTAAACGTAGTATGAATATTTTGCCAACTACATTTATTAAGCAACGTATAATTAGAGATTAGTTTATGATAGAAAGGAACATGTTTAATTTTGAAATAACTCCGGCAATCTCTACTACTCATGAACATTTACATAATTGTTTTTATATCGTCGCGGTAGTTGTAAGTCTTATTTTCGCGAACATAATGAAAAGATTGGAAGTTAAATTTGTTTCATCGACTGCATGTTACAACATGTAGTTTACTCTGGACATTTTATGTAACTTTAAACAGGGTTTGTATTTCGAAGACTGTTCCTTTGTTTCAGCTAAAATGGGTAAAAGTCCGCAAGTTAATTATAATAATCGTCTCAATAACTCTTAGATATTTTTCAAATAAAACATTTGGGAAACAAAACGTTCCCTAACGAAAGGATTTATATTATTTTGTTCCACGAAACAAACGTGATACTATGTCGAGAATTAACCGAATCAGTACTAAGTTATACGAAGAATCAATTAAGGATACAAAAAAAAAAAAAAGAAAAAAAAACAATTAGGAATATACAGAACATATTCTTCAAAATTATGATTTAGAAAAATTGATCGTGTCAGCTAAATTATTAGTATCCTATCGTCGAACGGAAACTAATCGGGAAAAAGTAGGGAAGAAAAATAAAAGTTTAACGCGATAACATGGCGAAATTTGCATGGTTTCGCAGTCTGCGGGGGTGGCTTTTGTCCCTCGTTAAGGATTTCCCATTAAGCGGCACCACGTAATTAGAAGTAGCTCGTGTGTTGCACCGGTAATTAGCGAAACGCCGGGGACGACATTTAGCCGGGTATTCGCGAGTCTCTACTGAGGTTTCGAATTTCGCGCCTTCCTCTCGCCTCGTTTCATTCCCTTCTCTCTCTGTTCTTTTTTTCTCACCAGTCTCGCGAGTGCCGCATTTTCCCGATAGTTCGAATCGCGATAGCTCGGTTCCCCCCGCGAAATTCGGGATATATATATATAGTTGAAACGCGAGCTGAAACGACGCTGTTTCGCGGGTGCTTTTAATTCTCGCAACCGAGATCATTTGCACGGTCGGGTGTTTAAGAATGCACGGAGCGCCGCGCCGGAATGTTTCTCGTCGAAAGCCGCACGATAGCTGTTATGATAAATGTATCATCGTTCTGCTATTCTAAAACAGTAACTGTCCCTGCACTTTTCGCGCTAATTATTGACAGAATCGGAGAGCAAGTCTGGCATTTCGGGAATAATTAATATTAAATGTATTCCGGCTCTGTTTGGCAAGATAATTAATTATGAATCGCACAGTGATAAATTTACTTTATTTATGAATTTACGTGCATTGTACACGCGGGCGGGTATTATTTTAGAGAAATTGGAACGTAGTGAATAATTCAGTTCTTCGTTTGTTGATCAAATTAACGCGACTTATTACGCTTTTATGTTTATGCATTGTGTTTCGTCCTAGTTTAAATTTTTGCACAGATTCTTCGAAGCGTCGTATTACAACTCGAGATTTTCGTTAAAGAACAGTGCGTAGTAAAGTAATATAGTACAAACTGGCATGTTGATCAAATATTTACAAATAATATTTTTGTAGATGGCTTCTTTCGTCGTTTTATATATTTAACGTGTGTCAACTACATGATAAAATAACATGACAATTTGTATCAACTTCTAATCACAGTTTTAACAAAAGCAAACATTTTATTTATTTATTTATTTACTTATTCTACGCGAAGAATCCTTTAAAAATACAATAGCAAAAGATCATCCAAAGGGAAACATGGTAATACATGTATATAAATGTGAATCAAAACTAAAATATCGAGATCAATTGAGAAAAAAATTACGATATCCACATCGTAGTAAAAGATCGTAGGGATTGAGATGAAGTATTTATTAGCTGCTGCCTAAAAATAATGCAGTCAAAGTCCATAGAGGAACAGCAAAAGTTCATCGGGGAAATATAGAATTGAATCTGTGAATTGACTCTCGACACGTATACATTTGGTGAATTAAAAAGTAAAGGCGTTGATCAACTTTCAACGAGCCAGCCCATAGAGAAGAATAACGAAGCAAAATTGAACACAATTTCGAGTAAAATTCAGAGAGAAGTAGTAAATTCGTTCACTGCACTGTCAACTGTAATCCACATCAACGAATGAAATTTCCAACACTACCGAGCATTAGCTTAGTGTTCAAAGAATACGCTTTCCAGAAAATCTCAACACCGTGACGAACGTTGCCAAGGGTTGACGGTTCTATCAGCGCGAGCGTGCCACGGTTCGATTCGCGAAGGAGTAGTTCTCGCGGCCAGCTACCCGGATAAAAGTTAATATAACCGCGGTTATTTATGCCGTGGCGCGGGAAGCCTGGAATTTCAAGCGGACTCGTCCGACGCTTTGGCAGCTGTCGGCGTGCCGCCTCGTGAAACCGGGGCGCCATTAAAAATTAATGGGAACGCGTTCCATAATGCAGCAGACTTGAATTTTCATTCGGAGAGGCCGAGGCCTCGTTGCAAATTTTAAGGATACACACGGCCTGCACGGACGTTTCGCCCTCGCGCGTTTCCGTTCGCCCCCGCGCGGTGGAAAATTAATAGAGCCGCTTTGCATATCGTCGGGAAGTTAGCTGCACGAGGAGGGGGTTAAAACGCCTCTGGTACGCGATAATTGGACGTCCTTGGTCGGCGACGTGTAAACATTTGCTTGCTCTTCCCTTTGCAACAGCTGACACGCGTACCCTGCCGGAAAATTTCGCGGCCGACCTCGCGGTCGGAAAATTACGAGCGACATCTCCACGGCGAGATCCTCTCACTTCCTTCGACTTTTTCTTCTCGATTCCGACAACCGAGCGGGGGGTCTTCCTAGAGCGGATGATCATTGAACTTAATCGGGATTAGTCGAAGAGTTGATAAACCACTGGGAGGACGAGGATGTTGCCGACACCTGTGACGAGATTAGAGTCAGAGGCACGCGACGTTTCCAATTTTCCCTTCTCGCCTCGACGTATTTTGCGTTTGTCTGTGCGGTGAATGTGGAGAGGGGAAGCGGGGAATCGCAGGGGAATCGAATCTACGATCTCAGACGAGAGTCTTAGAGACTTTACATCTGTCATCTCTTCTTGAATTTGGTACACGAGATGTCGTAAACTGTGCGACGAATCTCACACGTTCAGTCTTTTTACTCTCTTGGTGCTTTCTCTCTGTTCGAAAAATTATTTCTTCGTTCTTTCGTTCGTGAATCTTCCGCGATAATTCTTTATTCGTCAATCCTTCGCATCTTCTCGCGAGGAGAACACGATACATTGGAATTAAGAACAACACAAAATCTATAATTTCAACATCATTTCATCAGATCAATAGAACAGACAATGATCAAATTTCGTACACGTTTATGTTCCCTGATGAGCCAGAAGGGATTTTCGTCAGAGTTGCTTCTCGAAACTTTCCAAAAAGCCGACCGACTCACTCCGTTTCAAGATAGTAACATTCATTTTTCTCTCGCCGCGGCGTTTCAAGGTTGTCAGGACGTCGAACCAGATCGCAATCACCTTGGTCAAAGAACGAAGAGGAGAGTCTCGTTTACGCGTATCTGCCGACGTGGCAGCTGACGATCCCTCCACGATCGCCAGCCCACGGATCCTTATCGCGTTCCCCTCGAAATTTTCCTGAGGGGCGAAAGGGAAACTTTCACGGCTAGGGGCGAACGAACGCGAATTGTCGTCGCCGGAATCCGAGCCGTGAGACGTTCCAGAAGACGTTCGCCAAGCAGTCGCGCGATATCCGAGAAGATAAGGTTACTGCGGGGGGACGGTCAACAGATAGCGAGGTTGCATAAAAGGCGTCCCCTTCGGCGGAGCGGTAAGTGGAGGAGACGGAGATTACGAAGTAACGACGGTTACGTGACTGACTTATATTACTTAAAGGAAATTCATCCTCCTTTCTTATTCTCTTCTCCCCCCCCCCCTTTTTTCCTCTCCCTTTTCTTTTTTGTATATTCGTCGAAATTTAGATTAGGCAACTGGGACACTTCCTTTTATAAAGTTGGAGGGACTTTAATCCGCGTCGAGTAATTTTGACTTTGGTGATTCGACGGAAAAGGGGACGGTCCGTTGATTTTAACGAGCTGGGTCTCGACATTCCGTCAGATTTTCGTCTGCTATAATTATTAGTCTACGGAGATATTTATTTTCACGGGGACGAAGGAAGTACGTCGTGTATCTACACGATTTACATAATTCTTTCTTTTGACTTTACGTTAGTTTGTGCGCGCGAGGAATAAAAATTTAATACGTGTACAAAATGTTTCAGATCTTATGACGATCATTATAATTCTAATGTATTTTGGGGGATATGCTTTTTAACGATATTCTTTTCAATCGTCTATCTCTGTCATAGTCACGAGTTTATAATATTGCACGATGGATATACGT